CGGGGTGTCCCTGGTCTGCTGGGGGCCCCCCCAGCAGACCAGGGACACCCGGAGCAGCTTTTCTCGCCCCGGAGGACGCGGTGGCGGGACCACTGCGCGTCTGGGTGGTCCCGCCGCCCGCGAGTTCCGGGGCGAGAAAAGCCCCGTTCATAACTCGGGGACTGCTTGTATAATGAAACCACCACAAAACTATCAGTCTCCTGTGAGAAGGTGAAAATGTATTGAGAATAGAAAATGGCACACATCTCATGCCCCTTTAGAAATAGTGCTTCTGGAATATAGCTGAGGCACACTGGCAGGTTAGTGCATGCACTTGTCTTAGAGTATTTATTGTATGTATGGATTATTTCTTACCATTCCTCTTCTGTACTTGTTCTCCAGGTAGTATAGTCTCTCTAGTAATCAAACCTGCCACCTTCCATGATGCACAAATGATTCTTTTACAAATATTATTATTCTGCTGTGCTCTTTTTGTGGATAATTTTTAAATAAGGCTTGGTACATCATGATTGGAAGATTACTGCATTTTTGTTCACACAATTAATAAATATATTCGCTATCTAGGGTGACTGTGAAGATCATGCCACCCTTCTGTGCAGCCTTCTCCTTGGATATGGATTGGAAGCCTTTGTTTGTGTAGGAACGAAAGCAAAAGGGGTCCCTCACACATGGGTAATGACTTGTGGTACTGATGGAACCATCACTTTTTGGGAGAGTTTAACAGGACATAGGTGAGTAAAACGAGTTTAGGGGGATTAAGACAATGTAAAATGTATTTTCCTGAACACAGTAACATTAATGCACATTCCCACCTTTTGGGTTTGTGTGTAAAAACCCGTGGAACTAAAACAAGGGGCTGCTGGCTCTGAGGCAAGTGTCACTTCTTTATCACAAGCAGGAGCCCAGGAGAAATTGCCACTTAAGAAGTACTGAGAGGCTAAGCATTGCAGGAAATCCTGCCCTAAAGGCTTGACAGCCTTTCATGATTACCTGATTAGCTGGCACTCTTCATATAAACCAAGAGACCAATTTGGGTGTTGTCTGAGCAACATAGACCTCTAGTGCATTTTTGCCCTAACACACGACCTCACTACTGCTCATTGCAACTTACCTGGATTTGAGACTCTTGGCTCTCCACTTTGGTCTGACTCTTGACCCTGATCTTGGTTTACTGTCTTCAACTTAGTACCCTTGCTGTGTCTGGTGCCAAGACCCTGTTTCCATCCTAACTCTCATGCTCTCCTCATGCTTTCATTTTGGACTCTGACTTTGTGGCTTTGGCCTGGCCTAGTCCCACACTGATCTTTGACTCTTCAGCCTGCTAACTGAGCAGCTCACTCTGTATCCACAAGCTGCCAATGACCTGTCACAGACACTCTGCTCTTTACATCGAGTTTGAAATATCACTGGCTCAAAATTTGAGATAATAAGCTACTTCTTCAGTTGGTGATGTACTGCTGAGATGTAATCGCTGTCAACTTTAAAAGATGTTTTAGGGCAGGGTTGGGGAACCTAAGGACTGCAGGCCAGATGTGGCCCCTAGCTTGCCTGGATCTGGCCCTGCAGTTTGAGGCTTCCCCTCAGCATTGGGGAGCCTGTGCTGACGCTCCAGTACCACGCTATTCCATCTGGGGCTGGAGCAAAAAAATCTATTAGCCTGTGCAGCCTCTGTCCGTAGTGAGCCTGGGCCTGCCACAGACAGAAGCTGTTTGGACAGCAGCCCCTGTCCATGAGGGCAGGGTCCAAGCTCCCCATAGATACTGTCTGTAGAGAGCTCATACCCCTCCATGGACAAGTTCTGTTACTGTGAAGGGGCTGCTTCACGGCAGAGCAGAATCGCAGGGAGAGGGAGGCGATACTGCAGAGCCAGTGCTGGCTCTCCCCTGCACTGGCTCCTGCTCTCCGCCCCCTCCCCCCTCTTTCGTGGCTAGCATCCAGGGCTTATTCTCTCTACAGGCTTCCTCCTCACCACCTCTTTGTTCCTGAGAGTGATTGCAAGTGCAATCCCCCTTCTGCTATAAACCTCCTGTCTTCAGTCTGCTTCTGCCCTGCTGGGCTTCATTATCTGTTAAGCCCGGCTCTCCCTCAAGGTGCAGCCAGGTAACCTACTTAGCCTCCCAGGCTCACATTAGCCATTCAGGCCCCATCATACTTTAGTATAGTTGGTGGGGTTTTGGGGGTGGAGGAAGATATCTTTTTATTTTAAATTTTCTGAACAAGAAATGCGGAGAGTTTATTTTCTAAATTAATACAGCAAATTTGGAAGACTTTTCTAACTTGATACTACTTGCAAAGTAGGCCAATTGCTGGTCTTAAACTATTTAAGTGTACCTCTAAGCAAAACATTCTAAATTATATAATGTACTATTTTTTGAAGGCTGTTTAGTCAAGCTGTTCAGCCTAACTATTAATCTGAAATTGTATAAAGTGCATTAGAGGAGAACTGCAAAAGGCTAACTTTTAAGTGTGTTTGCATCATATAATACTATGATGATTTGAGTTCCTAGTTTTGACAATGAGAGTTATAAAAGGACTTTTCAAATATAATGTTATCTAACAGAATAAGCAAAAAAGTGCTTCTTATGGAAAATATTGTTTTATTTTTATGCAGTATTGCTTTAAATTATGCTGCTTTTGTTGAAAGGTGTCACATGATTAACTACATGAATTTGAAGAATTAGGGCTTTTGGTTTTGTAAAAGGGACCAATTACTGTTCAGCTTTGAAAACGACTTTGCAATTCTGTTGCCTGTGGATAAACACACTATGGGATGTTTTATAATGTGAAACTGTATTTCTCTGAAAAGCTAATGGGAAGAGGGAAGTAATTGTTTGTATTCATTCTTTCTTGATTCAGTTGAAAAGTTCGTTTTAATTGTCATCAGTTAGGTAGTTGATTGAGTAATCATGCTTGATTTCTAAGCTTGAAAATGAGCTGCTTCTCTAGATTAAAAGAAAAATATTAGTTTACTCATAGTACCTTTTTCTGTAAATTTTTAAAATGGAAATTTATATCAAGAAAATAAATTTGTGATGCAAGGTTCTTTTATGATGAAACAATCTCACTGTATTTCTATGCTGCTAAATATTTATATCTTGCAACCCCTCTCAAAAAAGTAAACATTTATTTACTTTAAAATATGCTTACTAATTGCTTAATATTATAGCACATCCTTCTGATCTTCAGATATATCCACAATCCTATCAATCCTGATGACCCTCCACTTGTTGAACAACCAAAGCCAATGTACCCTTATCGTACAGTAGGATGTGTCTTCAATCATCAGAAGTTCTTTGGGAATTGCCAGCCCTCCGATGCAGTGGAAGTCTGTGTGTTTGACTTGCATGATGAATCTAAATGGAAACCAATGAGTGGAGAAGCAATCAAATCTGTGTGTTCTCCAGGGGCCACAACTTCACTGCCTCCTTTTCCTCCCCTTTGTGCCTCTGCAATAGATGCTTCGGTAATAAGCAACGAGATAGAATTACAGCTGAGAATACTGGTGTCTGAACATAGGAAGGTAGTATTCTTTAATGTTTTTCATTGGTATGCCAAATAAAGGAGAGATCAAGTTTTGAGTATTTACTTGTCTAAAAGTTTGGAGAGGGGACGGTATTTTGGTTTGAAGACCTTTTCTATTTTTACAAAACATGTTTCCAGCAGTGACTACTACACCACTGTTTAGTGTGTGTGACTGAAAACAACTATGGAGAAGCAATTTCAAAATTTGGGTTTGTTTAGTTTAATCTCTGTATATCTGAGTACCTTACAAAATTAATTATCTTAGTACCCTGCAAGGACTTATCTTTTCTCCTATTTAACTAATTTCTTGTAGTACAGTCATGTTCTGGGGTTGATTCTTTTCTTCATTGGATGTGAAAAAAGCCATTTTAAAAATGCAATATATATTTTGAAGAAATGCTAGTTTTAATATGTTAATATTTAAGCATCTGCTAAAGACTTGAGATCAGTCTTTATGATATACCTGTAAGTCTTCACATTAATCTGTAAGATATGGCTAATACTTATTTTAAAAAATTGCACCTTGTTTCACTTTTAACTTTTTGGATATAGCATTCTTGGATGTAAATCCCTCTTAGGCTCATCTCTTTCTTAACTTTAGAAGAACTTTTTTGTTACATTTCACCAGTGCAGGAGTCTGATCTGAAAAGATTTTAGTTCTTAAGAGCAGAGGAAGCCTTAGGTATTCCACTTAGGTGTGTAGTCGTTGCCTAGCAGTACCCAGAGGGGTGATGTGTGTGCATTGTAGCCAGTGGAGGGGCTATGGCCATTTTGAGGAGGTGCCATCCACTCTCCCTCCTCTGTTCTTTGTTATTGTCCATGGCTATGGTCAATGCTTGTGTGGTCTAAACATCACAATCTCTTACTATTTTAGTGTTGGAGGGGGCAGGTTTTTATTATATAATTAATAAGTACCCTTAATGTTTGTATTTAGTATATAGTTATGTTCTTCCCTATGATGCACTCATTGGGGTTTAAACATTGTCCATCAGGACAATGAGCCACACACATACTGTGCATCAACGATCAGTGTTTGATTTGTAGATTGTTTGTTAAACATATTCAGGTAACAAGGGACCTTTTATGTAAAGCATCACAAGCTCAAATAAGCCATGTGACCTGCTTCAGCACTGAGACCTGTGTTGGATTGTAGATCACCTTTAGGGTTTGAGGGTCAGGCTGCTACTTCTTTGAGTAATATCCCAATAGATGCTGTACTGTAGGTGCAGCAGTACCTCAACTGCCTGAGACTGGAGAGCTTCAATATTGGTGCCCATTCTGCACGTGCATTCCTCATTGCAGACTTTGAGCATTGTTTCCTATATGCAGCAGGCCATAGAAGATTTTCCCTTTCACAGCCAGATATATATTTTTTGGACAAGACGGATGAAACCTTGCAGTCCTTCAAGGATTCTAGAGGCAGAAGCATGGAACAGGGGAGACTGATGCGAAACAGCCTCTGTCCGCAGTGGGCTGAACTCCCTTGCATCCCACAGAGTAACCTTGGGTGGTAGCAAGCCTGGGTCCACCGTGGACAGAGGCTGCTTTGTGGCAGCAGCTCCTGTCCATGGTGGGTCTGAGCTCCCTGCAGACTGAGGCTGCTATCCTGGAGCAGCCTTTGTCTGTGGGGAGCTTGGACCCACACGGACAAGGACTGTTGCCACCCCACACATTAGAGTGTATCAGAGGCAGCAGCACAGGGTGCTCCCCAGGAGCTGAGCTGGGAGTGCAATGGCTGCCAGCCCTGCTCCTGGAGACTATTGAATAATTGTGTAACCACTAAGATGTCATACAGTTACAAGACTATTCAATTACACGGTATCTAACATCCCTAATAGTTGGTAGGCAGTACGACACTTTTCACCTTTTGTTTCCAATATTTATCTGATTACTGAAAGATGTATTATTTTAAATATTGTAGAGCTTAGGAGCCCTAGCCCTAGAGAAGGATCTCATAAAAACACAGAATGAAAAGATAGTCCCTGCCCAAAAGAGTTTACAGTTTAAGTATAGAAGCAAAGATAGCAGATGGATAGCAATCGGGAAGTATAAGGGAACAGTGAGATCATATTGGTCAGCATAGTAGGCTGTGATCTCAGTACATAAATTTTCTAGATGTCTATTAATCAAATCATATTTTTAAACATTATTTTAATGCCATGAGACCAGTCATTCTCTACTGAGCTCTTTCTTCTGTGATTCATCCTATAGGATCTGGGCCTTACTACAGTTTGGGATGACCAGCTATCTTATCTCTTGTCACCAGCCTTGGCGGCCTATGAGCTTGAACGTACAACGAGTGTCTCTGCAGGGAACGAAGAATTTCAAGATGCTATAAGAAGAGCAGTACCTGATGGTCACACATTTAAAGGATTCCCTATCCATTTTGTTTACAGAAATGCAAGGAGAGCATTTGCTACGTGCCTTCGGTAAGATTAAGATGTAAATGTAGTAGTGTTGGGTTTTGTAAAAATGTAATAAGTTGTGAGTTTTCATAATTGATGAAGTTGAAATAATTCTAAATTATACTATCACCTTTTACGCATAAGGGATTTAACAAGAAAACAGAATGGCATAATTAACGGGAAATGGGGGACAGAGCTTTTCCTATTTAGGTCACTAATCAAAATCCAGCTCAGATCAGTAGTAACTATTTAGAAGCCTGTGTGAACTAAGTAATTTGTCTTAGCCCAGGGTCTCGTGGACAACTAGTAAAATCACAGTAACCACAGTCAGTAGAATTATTGGCAGTATTAGCTAGCAGGTTAAAGCTTTAATACGGGTAGATTTATTAAAACACTTGAGATAATTTGAATTTAATTGGGAATATAAAGTATTTTTCTATGATCACTGCCCCACAAATTGAAAACTCACTTAAGGACAGTAAATAATAAGTAGCAATATATAACCTGGCATCTTGTTGTTGGAAGTGTTTAGTGAGGTGATATACAGAAGAGGCTGTGCTTGGTTTCATTTAGGTTATTGAGTTTTCAATTCTAATAGGGTAATGATGTTACTCTCTCAAAGCATGAGAGAGTCAGATTCCTGGCATAGTGATATCCTTGAAATACATCTCTTCAATCATGACTAAAAATAGTACAGGTTTTTTTTTTTTACTATAAAGTTTTAATGGTGATTTAATAACTCACATCTAATTGCAATATTTAAACCATATCATTAGTCAGGTTTCTTTTCTGCCAAATAGGTCTTCTTTCTGTGAAGAAATAATCTGTTGTAGAGGAGACCAAGTGCGGCTTGCAGTTCGTGTGAGAGTGTTTACATACCCTGAATCAGCATGTGCTGTTTGGATCATGTTTGCTTGTAAATACCGCTCTGTACTTTAAAGAAAAATCATGTATGTGCACTGTTTCAAGGCTCTACGAAATATAAGTGCTGGTACAAAGGAACATTATTATTAAAAATCACATTAATTACAACATTCAGTGTGTCACTTTGGGTAAGCACCACTCCAATGATGGTTGTGAATATTTAATGTGTGTATTTAAAACAAAATTAAGGCAGAAAAATGTTTGTATATACCATAATGAGTGTATTTATATATGAGGTATATTTTTATTTTAATAAAAGTTTCTTTATTTACATTTTCAGTAGTCAAGAACTGCATTTGTTAAAATATGTATACAAATATCTATTTTTTCGAGTGTTTGCTCATGTTGATTACAAATTAGGTGTCTGTGTTCACCACATGCACTGGTGCTGTAGGTTTTTCCCTTACCAGTATCCGCAGGGGAGCGTCTCTGACGTGGCACCCTCATGATGTGATAAGAGGTTCTATGTGCTCCCCAACCCTCAGTTTCTTCTTACCAGTGTACGGTACACTCTCTTGCTTCAATAATCTTTTTTTCCCAGTTGCTACCTATGAACAGTTGTTGCAACTAGTTTTTCTTGTACTTAAGAGTTCTCTTAGTTCAGTTAAGTATCCTTAACAGAACTTAGCCTTAGGATGGAGCATGCCCCAATCCCCGCGGTTTAAGAACGGCAACCAGTGGAGTCAGCCAGTAACCCCCAACACTAGATGCTTACGCATTAGTGACAGGTGTCACGTTTGTGAAAGCTTCAAACTATACACAAAAGAAGAGTGGAACACTTGGATAAATGCATTCCTTGTGGAAATGGTGCTGACACTGACACTGACACTGCAGTGGTTGGGATTGAACACCATACACAGCACTGCGGCCTCAGTGTAGAGTGCTCACTTGGCATTGGAAGACTGAGAGAGGTTGGTCTTCTGCACGAGGGCAAAGAGAGGGCAATAGATGATCCTAGACCCATGAAGGGGGGGCTCATTACCTCCAAGTGGGAATCAGGCCCCAGCTTCAGTTGAAGAGAATAGCCCTCCCAAGTATATGCCTGCCTCCCCAGACAACAGCACTGGAGTCCAGCACCTGGAAATGCCATCAGCCCCAGATGCCCTTAAGTTGGGGCAGGACATCTTGTCCCTCTGGTGTTCCCACACTGCCTATAGCAGCTCCCACATCTAGGGGTAAGCCTGCTTTGGGATTGCCCCCTCAGTTCCTATCTGCGCAGCTCTGCTTTCCATCTCGGAGTATCCCACAAGCGCTCACCCACTGAGAGCCACCACACTCTGGACACAGCGTTGCAACCCAACTGGAGCTTCAGACACCAATCGCTTGGTGCTACTCTGGGCTTGAAGCAACATTTGCTTCAAGGTGGGGGGGGGGCCCTTCTGAACCACATTCTGTCCCATGACTTCAGTACCGTGGACAGGATTGTTGCTCCATAGCTGCACAGTATCGGCACCTCCAGATGCAGTACCAGCAACTCCAATCAGAGCTCAACAATTTTTCCCCTGGAATACCGGCACTTTTTTTTATGCACATAAAAAAAGCACTGTCACCACCCCAGGGCCAGCACTCAACCATGCGGGATTGGTCATGCTCCTGTTCCCGCTCCATTCCTTGGCACCAGTCTGAGAACATTCAGTGTCAATCACTGAGGTTCCATCGCAGACCTGCCAAATGCAGCCACTGGTCACCAGAATCTGTGTGATGGGTTGTTGCCACGTACAGATGGGTTGGACACAGTTCAGACAGACACACTTGGTCAGTCTCTGCATAGTCCTAGTCACTGGAGGTTGGCCCCCCAACCCAGACCTTGGAGTCAAACCAAGAGCCTTTGCAGGCAGGTCAGGGTCCTCCCTTAGTGGCACATGTTGCTTTAGTGGCACCATAAGGTTTTCAGGGCCATGGCCATAGATCTCATGGGGTTTCACTCAACCTTTGCAACCCTGCAGCCCAGTCTTTGCAGTACGCCCCCCCTCCCCCATTGGGGGTAAATACAGCCCTGGAAGCCTAGTCCTTGCAACATCCCCCTTCTATTGGGGTAAATATGGCTCTGAGGCCTAGTCCTCATAGTGCTCCCCTCTACTGGGGTAAATATGACCCTGAGGCCTAGTCCTCATAGTGCTCCCTTTATTGGGGTAAATATGGCCCTGAGGCCTACTCCACAGGCTCCAGGGACGACTACTGCTTAGGAGCACTGCAGAGGGAGAGGTAAGGGAGTGAGGGACCCAGGCCCTCCCACTCCACGGGCTCCTGGCCCAGGGCCCTATGGGCAGTGGCTCGGTCCATTGCTTGCTATGCCCAGTGGGGGTTCCCTCCCTGCAACACACTGAGCACTCGGGGGTTGAATTCCCTGCCCTGGGCCACTCCCTACCACCCTGTGTGTCTCCCCATCACTAGTACCTCCAGGCTGTCTCCAGGGCTGTGGCTGCAGCATTTACTGCTGAGGCAGTAGCAGCTGCAGCATCAGCTCTGGCTGCATCTGTTCTTCCAGCTCTGGAGCTGGCTTAGCCAGTCTTTTCCCTTCAGTGGTCAGAGTCGAGTGAGCTGACTCAGGGCCTTTTATATTCCAGCTCACCTGTGAGCATGCCCGGCACGGCCGTGTGGGAGGACCACTTTAAACCAGCTGGGCCTAGCCCACAGTCTGATCTACAGTGTGGAGCCAAGGTGCCCCATCACACCCACCTTGCCTCAAATTTGCTGGTAGTTTTAGCAGGCAAGGGAGCCGCCATTTTTAAAACCCCGCTGGTTCGAACCCCGTGCAACGCGGCTACACGAGGCATGAACTAGGTAGTTCGAACTAGGCTTCCTAGCTCGAAGTACCGTTACGCCTCGTGAAATGAGCACTTGAGGTGTGGATGCTCCACCGGTTTTTGCACAAAAATTGCAGAAGAAAATTGACAGAACAGAGGACTTTTGCTGGTAGTTATTCCTCTCCCCATGAGGAATAACTCTTTTTTGCTCCACAGCTCTTGCACAAAAAGGCATGTGTGGATGCTCCGCAGGCGTTTCTTGCGCAAATGGCCATCAGAGCACCTCTGCTTTCTTGCGCAAGAGCGTCCATGCAGAGTGGATGCTCTCCTATGTAAAAGCACATCGCTTTTGCAATGCGCTTCTGAGGTGTGAACGTGCTTTTGCATAAGAAGTTTTTGCAGAAGATCTCTTCTGAAAAAAGCTTCTTGCACAAAAACCCTGCAGTGTAAACAAAGCCTAACTGTTTTACCAGGACAATACTAGATTCTACCATGTTGAGGGCTTTCCTCCCACTCAGCAGGTTCCAGGCAATGAGAGGTCTCTTCACTGGAGTCTCCACATTTTCCCTTCATGGGTGCCAGGGTTGGTCTGAGATTATTGGGTCATGTGGCAGCATGCACACACCTTGCCATGCAAGGCTCTGGATTAGACTGCTCTAGCAGTGGTGCACCTCCCAACTAGAGATAACCGGGACAAGGCAGTCACCATTCCACTGAATATGACCAAGGCAATGCAGTGTTGGAACAAACCCAGAACAGTCCTGAAAGGAATCTCGTTCGACAGCCCACATCCATCAGTTTAGTTGATATTGGACACCCTGGGCCCCAGCTGAGGTTGCATCTGAGCAATATGCACATAAGGTACATGGTACCTGTGACAGCGCGTTGGGGGTCCCCCGTCTCCTGCACCCCGAAATGGCACAAACAGACTGGACCAGCCGGTGGAATGGAGGAAGTTTATTGCCTCTCCAGGATACAGCACAGCACAGATGTAATCTGGTCACAGAGCTGGGCTAGGATGCCTCAGGCCCCCTTGAGATGGGGGAGACTGGGCCCCTAAACTCCAGCCCCTTTCCCTAGGCTGTCTCCTCCATGTTCCCAGCCACCAACCAACTAACCCCCTTCCAGCCCTGCCCCCCAGCCAGGGCAGCATTCCCCCTTCCTTTGTTCCTCTCCATGGGGGGTATCTGGTTCAACAGGTTTGGCATCACCTTTGCATAGTGAGGTTTTCCCTGCTGGGTCTTGCTCCAGACAGCAGAGGTCACCACAGCCCAGCAAGTACCCCCACTACGTCACAGTACCCAAAGGAGTTGACATGGTATATAAATGTCAAAGAGCTCAGAGCAGTTGACCAGGTGTGCAGTGTTCCTTCCACAACTAGAGGGCTCTGTGGTTCAGGTGTTGACAAACAACATGGCCTCCATGTTCTACATTAATAGGAGAAGCACATTCTTCAGCCCTCTGTCAAGAGCCCTGATACAACAAGGCTGTGTCTACATTGGCATGATCTTGCACCAAAGCTTTTGTGCAAAAACATGCTGCCAGTCTACACTGGTGAGGAGTTCTTATGCAAGAACACTGACATTCTAATGTGTGAAATCAGTGCTTCTTGCACAAGAACTCTGATGTTCCCGCTCAGGAATAAGCCCTCTTGCGCAACTGTTCTTGTGCAAGAGGCCAGTGTAGACAGGCAACATGAATTTCTTGCGCAAGAAAGCCCGATGGCTAAAATGGTCATCAGAGCTTTCTTGCGCAAGAGAGCGTCTACACTGGCACGGATGCTCTTGCACAAAAGCACATCTCTTGCACAACGGCACATGCCAGTGTAGATACTCTCTTGTGCAAATACTTTAACGCAAGAACTCTTGTGTTAAAGAGTATTTGCGCAAGATCATGCCAATGTAGACGCAGCCCAAGTGTGATCCACCTTACTGGTTCACTTTCCTGGTGTCACAGTAGGTCCCTGGTATTACAATGCTTATGGGGCTTCCCTTGTAACTACTGGGAGTTCTCAGGTTACTATCATTTAAACCTTGAGTTACATGCAGTTCATATATTAAATAAGTCATAGGAGAAACCACATAGCTGACTGAATAGGAGTGTGAAATTTGATTAGAAAGGGTTGTATGGATCCAAAGTGCAACTCTGTAACAGTATGGAAATCTTCACATAACCCCTAATTTTACATTTTTGCAAACCTTCTAACATACAAATGCTATGGGTAATATTTCCTTTATATTTAAATTACATTTGTTCAGCAACATAATAGCTTCTTCTGCCTCCCAACTTGAGCAATATATCTTTCAATACATAAAGCCTTCTAATTTCATGTTCTACAGGGAACAATCCTGTATTGACAGAGACTTAGATTGGGTGATGACTGAAAGAGTTTTTTCTATTTCTAACATGCATAAAAGTTACTTATTTGCCCTGTTGCAGAGTGTATCTCTTCCCCCTAGTGTTCTAACAGAGAGGAATATATGCAAAATAGGTTGAACTACAGGGCGGAGGCCTTGGTAGTTCTTACAGTAACTGGCCTCAAATCAAGTCCTTCTCACCTATGACACTAAACCAAGACACACAATAACTGCCCCTTTTCTTTATATGCTTTACAGAGCAATTAAATAGTTACTCATGATGATATTTTAAATTATGACTAGTAAATGTCCCATTAAGATGAACGGGAACATTATCTGTAAGTGATATTTAATGTTTTATGCTGTCTCTAGAGAAGACATCACTGCCTTGAATTGCAGTTCATATCTTGAAGGTTTTTTATTCCAATTATAATTAGGGAGAAGTTAGCGAGAATGGTGCAGGTCCTAAATGAGGAAGGAAAGCAATATGGACTGATTATGAATACAGCCACTCCTCAACTTATGAACACACCGACTTACGACCAACCTCCCATTAACCCCATTATAATATTTTCGAGTTGAGAACCATGTATGTCAAGTTTTTCGAACAGCGCGGGCAGGGCGTTTAAGGGTATTTCTGACTTATGACCAAATTGAGTTATGACCAGGTGTTCAGAACGTAACCCGTTCATAAGTCGGGGACTGCCTGTATAGCTAAAACGAAGACAATTGTATTTGGAGATAAGGAAATAGGAAGGAAGATCAGTGTAGATGGTATCGAACTAGAGAACGTAGAGAAGTTCATGTATCTGGGGAGCAACATGACATATGATCTAGACTGTAAGAAGGAAATAGTGACTAGAATAGCAAAAGCAAGAGCGAGTTTGAAGGTGATGGATAAGATCTGGAAAAGTAAAGCAATTAGCTTAGGAACGAAGCTGAGTGTCTTGAAAACGTGTATTTAGCAGCATGTTGTATGGATGTGAGACATGGGTGATAATGAAAGATTCAAAAGAGAAGGATATTGACATTCGAGAGGAGTTGTTATAGAAAGATCCTGAGAATAGGATGGATGCAGAAGGTCACCAATGAGGAATTACATAGGAAGATACAACCGAAAGAGAACCTAATGCAGAAGGTTATACAATGGAAGTTACAGCTATTTGGGCATATCTGCAGAATGAACGGAAGGGACCTCGAGAGATCATCGAATCCAGTCCCTTACCCTCATGGCAAGACCAAATACTGTCTAGATAGACATTTATCTAACCTACTCTTAAATATCTCTGGAGATGGAGATTCCATAATCTCCCTGGGCAATTTATTCCAGTGTTTGACTACCCTGACAGTTAGGAACTTTTTCCTAATGTCCAACCTAAACCTCCCTTGCTGCAGTTTAAGCCCATTGTTTCTTGTTCTAGCCTCAGAGGCCAAAATGAACAAGTTTTCTCCCTCCTCCTTATGACACCCTTTTTAGATACCTAGGAGATACAGTAGATTGGTGCGGAGCTAGTCTACAGAAACTAAGCTACTCCACACTGGCCAGGGAAAGATGGAAGGAAATAGTGAGGGAGGCATTGGAAACCAACGGGCATTGAGCCCATGGTTGTTGATGTTGATGATGATGATGAAATAAGGAAATGTTACAATACTGGAGCATTCTCCCCTCCCTCCCAAAAAAAGTACCATCTTCCAGTGCCGGGATGAACCAAATTCAACTGCCGTTGATTTATATTCCTTACTTTTGATCTCTTCTTTTTTGTTATATAAAATTTTATTTTTACAGCAACCTTCCGTTCCCCTTTAAATCAGGTAGTTTATTTTAACCACCACAACCTTCTTTCTCATTTGTGGATTATGGCTTTTGGGACCCTATTCCTAATTATCATTTAAAATGCTCTAATTGAATTTGTTCTCCCATCTGACGTGGGTTCATAATTATTTTCAGCTTTGTGAAATCGACCCTTTTAAAAAACCCTGTATATTAAAGCACACCGTGTTACTGGGCTGGATTGTATTCTGCTTGCACATTATAAATATGATCAAGTCAGGGGAGCTCTGTCACATGTTTAGCTGCTCCGTGATGGTGATTTCCACTGTTTGTTTTGGTTTTTTAAAATCCCTTCAGCCATCTCGCTTTAGTATTTATTGCTGAGCGGCTAGCCGGTTGCTATGGCAGCTGGATGTCGGAGTAGAAAGCGCCTGTGTCTCTCTCTCTTGCCTGTCACCCTGCTTGCACAAACAAGCGCCTCTTTGCTGTTGGCCTGCGCTGTGTGTCGCTCCCCGTTCCCATCCGTGGCTTTCTGAGCCCCTGCGTGCAAATGTGGGTCACGCGTGTCCCCGCCCGCAGCGCGGAGCTGTGCCCGGTGCCGCAAGCGCTTTAGCAAAGGAAGAGGGGGCCAGGGGCGGGCTGTGGGGTGGGGCAGTGGGAGCTGGGGTTTGGG